ATAGTAGCAGAAATTGCACCAAAGTACTGTACGAACATGGATCTTAAGATGACTCGGAAGCGATCTCTAGAGCTTGCTCTACTAGGATGGGCATACCACAGCCTGGTTGCAGCCAGGATTTTATATGGCGATTTTGCCAAATACCATGAAAGATTCAAGCATGAAAATGTCAAAGTAAATTATTAATGTGCACGAGAAAGACGCCCGTGACACCTTACAGAATACCGATGCGCTTTACTGCGTTGAATAAGTACGAAGGAGATCCCCCCCCCAAAGGCAAGCGAGGTTTTGGGAGAAATAGGATGGAAGAAATTCCTCGAATTCATCACTGTAACGAAATGTTGAAGTAGTAGAATTTTAAGCCTGGTTGTAGAGGGTCCCCCAGGAGTATCAGTTGTTGTGCTTATATAGTCCCTGGGAAAAATAGAAGGCGCTTTCGTCTGAACACACTGTATTCTTTTCCTTATCTTTCTGTTTTTTTCTATATTACTCCTGGCAAGTAAAGCCATGTACGTAGGTAGTAGTGAGTCTATCAAAATCACATACGCACATCACGCCTCATGGGTGCAGGACGTAAGCCTGGTACGAATAGCATGCAAATCAAACTCGGCGTGAGCCGGCAAAGATAAAGTCTTCCCCCTCCAGTAGTGCTGGTGCAATCATCCAGTATGCTCTACATATCTGTGATGGTTAGGAAGAATCGCATCCGAATCGAAGTCGAAAGCACTCACAAGCACATCAAAAATCGACTACTTCTCGTCAATTTCGGGTCTATCATTCTCACGCGAGTCCTCCACCTCAATATTACTACAGTGTCTCGCCTTAACTACCGACAGAGGCTTTACTCCAATTGCAATTAGAAATTTGCCTCATCAAATATCGGCCATCTCTCGCTATAAAGTTCCCATGCTATGTATACCCGCGAGGAGGAATTCAAGTCATAATCTAAAAAGCTCGGGTCTTAGTCGATAAGGGACCGTTGCTCTGATGGAGACTCACATCTTGAGGAAGTACAGGCAGCTGGGACGTGGGACGAACGAGTGAAGAGTTCACGAAATGGTATCCTGATATTCATATATTTCGAGAGTTTTTGACTTTGGGATGCTTGTGGGTGGCGAGGCTACGGTATCGGACGGTGCTACCGACACTTTTAACACATACAAATATGGAAGGAGTTTTGGTCCGCCTCCTGGCCATCAACTCCCCGAATTAAAGTCTGGGTAGTCTGGACACCTACCTCACTCGAGAAAGGGAGGACTGTGAGTCCATATCTCGCGCAGTGGCTATATACAAGATGATAAAGGCATATTAGGGTAGCCAAAGATTTTTCCTGTTTTCCCTTTGGTGGATATTAATGGTTGAGGGAAGGGTAAAAGTCCCTAGCACAAAAGTCTCTAGTGGTATCAGCGAACACACCCACTACATGAATGATCCGGATGTAAAACTGAGTTATCGTCGTATATAATCGTCGGGGAAGGACTAGCCTTCTCTGAGTCATGCTCTTTAAGTGCTAGACTTGTGCCCATCACGAATAAATATTCATTCATTCGCTGAACCCCCAGAATATCAATTCCACATTCTTCTTTATACTTTATACTTACCCTCCTATCACAATTCTTATCCATCTGACTTTATAATTATAACAGTCCCTTCCACAGAAAAATAAAGATTATTTTGTGGCATTACTTGCGTGAAGCGACCATAATCTTAGTCTTTTTACAGTGTGAGTGTTCTGCACGTCAAAATGAGTCAATCTACATAGGTACAGATACCTTCCGAAAACATCTGCATGGGTCCTTAAGCGCAAAATCAGGATAATTGATTGATTTATCCTTATTTAGCGTCCTTTTCGGTATATAATTTTCAGGAACACGAAGACAGCAAGTTGCTTCAGTTTGAAAAAAGGCTTACAAAAAATAAAACCCGATATATGCCACTTTGAACCGACCCAGCTTAATGCTGAAGATGCTCCTTCCGTCAATTATATTGTAAACTTTCCGCAATTTTCATTAACTCCCCCTTCGATCAGACTAAAGCTAGAAGAAACTGAAAAGAGAAGCCAGCTCCTCACTCGGCGTTGGTAGACAAAAGGTCCGAAGAGTCGGCCCCGGCGGTGATGCGCCTGTCACGGGGATGATTGGTGCCGTTGGGGCGACAACTACTTTGCGCGGTCGTCTCGGTCCTCTCATTAGTCCTTCAGCCTTTTTACTGGCGACAAAAGTAAATCCTTGATCATAAGTTGTTCCGACTGTTCGCTTTGGCGCCATTGTAGGTTTTTCTTTCCAAATATCCGCCCTTCTCGATAGAAGATTCATCCGAGCTATCTCCACACTCCCTTTGTAGACCTGGTAGGTCTAGTATGCTGCTTTCTGCCACGAACGGTGTTCCCTACCGCAGTTCGCGCAGGAGACCCTTTTCCTCGAACAGTCCCAAGTTTGGTGAGCACCAGTGCACTCACTGTATCCGGCTATCTTTTCACACAATGCCTGCGTATATTCCCGTTGACTTCGGTTAAAGCACTGCTTTGATTGGGCCCGTGGTGACCACGCTAGCGCGCTGAACAGCAAGACCTCAGTATCAAAGCCCAATCGGGCCACTTCCAATTACATTGCCTCCGACGAAAGGCTTGCCATGATTGATCTTCTGTTGCAACAATTTTTCTTGGACCGCTGATGCTTCTTTCGATTATGTAGCCACCTTGCTCGATTTACCAGAAGGCCGTGAATAAGGGCCTTGGTCGCTATCTAAACGCCCCTCATTAAAGCTTAGTTATATGAATCTCTACAACCTTCAATTCAGTTCCGCAAAGAGACACCGGGAAATTTCGACTGGATAGTCTTGCCAAAAATCTTAAACTCGTTTAGTCTTCGCGTGTTGAGCGCTACGTTTCTCTGAGACGCCAATTGAACGAACACCTCGATGTCGTTGCTTCGCATCTGGCGAATTGCAAATGCTCCTTGAATATGTTATTGTTCCTTTAAAAGCATCCGTTGCGGCTGCAGGTTTTGTGCCCCGTCGATTCTTATCCTGACCGCCGTTTTCGTCATTTTTGGGGCTACGAGCGACGTGTAAGCCCTCTATATCGGCGCCCCCTATACTGCAAGAGGAGCAGCTTATCTTGCGGAGTCCGCGAGGCTCTTCACGACTACCTCCTGCAGTGCTATCATCCTTTTGTCCTTCGGAAACGGGATCGGGGACAACGTTGCTCATGCCTTCTTATAATAACTAAAGGCCTTTACGACATTATTGACGTCCTCCATCGTTGGTAGGACCTCCTCATTCATCTCAACCATGAAAATTAATCTGACCTGTCTCAGTAGTTTCCCTAATAATTCAAGGTTGTGGTCCTTTGGAGCTGTCTATGCCCTGCTGCAATTGTTTGTAGTGCCCATTGTCACTTTTTGCGACGCGTCGAAACCGCTGGATTTACTAACACCATCACCAACGCCTGCCCACCCCCATGTTATAGCACAGAAAGTGAAAAGATTCTGTGAGGGAAAAATATAAAATTTTTTATTCAAGATGCCAAATTGATGGGTAGCATGGCGTGGAACGCTGCGTAGTTTTCCGGAAAAATTGATGTTTTTTTCCATGGTTTACTATCTTTATTGTATTATAGAGTTTTTGTTGGGGAACAGAGCAGTGATTGGAACAATAACTATGAATGAGGAATCATATGTATTGAAGATGTGCAGGAAGTATGATAAGAAGATACATGTGCAGTGTCGTGTGGATGCCTCCAAAATTCAATAGTAGAACATTGGTGTGGTAACTCTTACTAGCCAAATTCCTACAGAATCATTTTAGTTTGATATTTATTTTACTGCCTGGATCCCTGACTATCTTGTATATAAAGCTTCTCTGACCCAGACCACACCTTGTACAGTGCTCCTTCTCTATTTTGTTAGAAAAAGAGATCTTCAACATGATGCCCATAGTAGAAAGCTGTTTGGCTCATTACTGACGCGTAGAATTGAGCCTTCTTTGCTACGGAATTTTCTATAAAAAAAAAGGACGAAACAATAGAAGCTGAGTGCGCAGGAGAATTTTTCAAAAAACTTGTGGCCTCAGCCAGACGATGCCTAGACACCGTTGTCATAGATAGGTAGCTGAATAAAATATGACTCATAAGAAGAATAAGTCCTAGACACAGGAGGCACACGAGTTACGTATATTTACCTGTATCTCCCTCCTCTGTGACAAAAGGCTCCGGCTTAGAGCAGTCCACTGCGGGCGTATCGGGGGCTGAGTATGTTTCTGAAGTTCATCGGATGATGTGAGAGGACTAATCACGATAGCTTGTTCGCACAGGTCAATCCAAAAATAAAGGTTTATATTCTGTATAACGAAAGAACTACGTGAACTACATAATTGAGTATCAGCTAAGTCTTACGTAAGTTACTCCTAGCTTAACTATCCAATGAGTTCACTAGTACAATCTTTACTAATGACATCGGACTTATCCGATTCTAATCCCACAAGGCCCTAATCCTGTAACAGATGACATCTCTACTATGGCAAAGTGAGAAGAAATTGACTAGAGTTTCCATTCTGCCATCTAATCTGATGGCGATCAACTTCATGGTAATGGTACTAGTGAGTTACGATGAGTGATGAAGACAATACAGACAGTAAGACCGGTTTGGGATAATTCGATTCTTCTTAGCTGTTCCGGGTGTGAAGGGCAAGCTGAGTGTTTATACCGAGACCTCTGGAAGGTGAGGAATTCGTCCTTGCCTGTTAAATTAATTTCTTGAAAAGTAGAAGCATGACTAATGCCTAGTTGTTATTTTCTTACGTAGAGCCAATAATAACTTTGGAAAAAATAGCTATACAGAATCTAGATAAAGTTGATTTCGGTTTTGCAAGCTCTTACGTTGAAAGCCTCTTCAATTGACGTTAACGAATTAATAGATGGCGAGAATTGATAGTAGAGCAAGATATAAATAACTTCCTGAATCAGGTCAGTGTAAGATTTTATTTTGAAGCTATGTCTTCATTTATCTAAAAATATGTAGAGAGTCAAAGCCATTCCCATAGGTCGCTTGCCAATCAAAGTTACAGTCAGAATTTTCTCTCTTGAATGCTTGAATCATCCTTTCGGCTTCCTGAGTATCTTCGTACTTAATAAATCGAGCATCAGATCTTTTTTTGGCAGTAGCGCCCTGTCCCCATATCTTTTCTCCAGAACTATCAAGAAACGTTCCAATCAATCGGAACGTTAGTGAGATCCGCCCACCATTGAACGCACTTTCCTCGATAGATTTTATGCCTGAAGCCCGCTTGTCTGGCCTAATACCGTGTAGCCAGTACTTGTTGGTGATAGGCCCCATTCGACAAAGAGAGTTGTGAGGAAGAGGCACTCGGTAAACATGACGAGACCCATTAGACGTTTTGGTACGAAAAACCATTGTCCTCTGAGCACCAAGACTGTAGTTCCCGATAAAAGTTTGCGGAGATATGTCTAGAGTTTTGTCGCTGTGCTCTGATATGCAATCCAACCCATCTCTATAATACTGAAGAAGGACGTGGTTAACTTTATGACCCATCGCAGTCTCAACTTTCTGACGGATAAGTTCAACTGTTGGAGAGAATGGTGAAAGTGATAGTTGTTGATCTGTTGGGTGACGGTAAATTGGTTGACTACCGTCTTCTGCCACTTCTCCCTGAACTGCAATGAGCCGAGGGACACTGCCACCACAATGTAGCATCTCATTCCATTGAATTTCACTTTTGAGCTCCTCAAAAATTCTATCGGCTACATCGTAGTCAAGGATGTCATAAAGAATTTTTGTATCATCATGATTAAAGAGCTCATGTCTCGATCCTGAACGAGATAATGAAGCGACGGGGTTGCTTTCCAGAGTAGGGCTTGATCGTTCCGGTACCCTTATTCCTTCCATTATTAGTTACTATATTGGATAGTGCACTGGATATTACTTGCTAGATTATATACTGCTCTTTAAGCGATCACAACAAATTGTAAACTTGTCTACGACTTGAACTAGGCCCGTAATCTTCATCCAATGAAGTGCTTGTACTTCTGAAGTTTAGACTCTTTGTCTTTGCCGATTATTTGGAAGATACACGATGGAAAATTACTTGTGGATATTCTAGAAAGCATACATTTTCATACTAAGCTACAGATTATTTACATCAATTCTAAATAATTTACATTCGCCGCAAGAACCTTAACGGCTTTGACTTATGTAGGTGCCCCGGAAAACACCAATTTAAAGGAATCTAATCTCTTAGCCGAAGTGAGTAAGTTTTATGAGGTTTGAAGGATGAGTAAACCTCAGTTGCAATAGCAACCCTTTAGCGGACGAAGATTGAACGCTTGTGCGTGATGTCCTCGACGAATCTGAGGGTAGAATATTTGCTCGGTTTAGGTCTTGCAGTTATTTCGAAGGGTGAATTTGGTGGTTATTATCGAGCTGGCGATCGAGAGGCGTGGTATTTGAAGAAATTTGGTTGATAATTCTACTAGTAGAGCTTTGACGACTGCATAGCCCAAAAAATCCAATTTACTAAACCCTAAATACGAGCTATAGACAGGATTAAACCTGCGTTTTTTAGGGTTAAAGCAACTGACGACCTCCATAATCTCAAATTTTATTGGGATTTTTGAATTTGAAATCTTTTAGGTAACAGTAAGAATCCAATATCTTTTTAGACGTTACACGTGTAAATGGGCTCTGAGAGCTCATAGTTACCTACATGACTGGCAGCAAAGCCAGAAGCGACAAAAGAAAAGAAATTAAATAGTGCAGTAAATATCTGAGTTAAGGTGGCCTGCGCCGCATCCCTATCTTCTAAACCCATCTCCCCTCAGGTCAGAAACAATCTCAACATGGGCACCTCCTACCCTTTTCATTCCTCGGCAGACTGTAACATCTGCTTGTAGTTAAGAATTGAATGAACTTCTGCCATCCCTTCTCCCTTATTATTTACCTGGCCCCAGGTGAGGCCATTTCCTCACAGTTTCTTCAACGTAGCAAAGCTGGTCGGTACTCTGAAAAATGCCAGGGCCTTCTCTCTCGGTCGAAAACGTATTTCAGATCTTCATGTTCGGGGTTGAAACATCGATGGTAGTCAGCGTAGTCACCGTGGCCTGTTCTTACCTCAATAAGACGATGGTACGCCCAGCTCCGTAGAGCCAGTTCCTATGGCCGTTTGCAACGCATGAAGAGGTCCAGATCTTTGTACCGTTTCGGCCGATACTTCTGCCACCATTCTTCCACGAGCTCTTGGCCGCGCTGTATAACCCACATCCCTAATTCCGCAAAGTCTAGATCTCGATTCTCTCCACTGGGCGTAGCTGAGGTTAGTGACCGGTTATTGAGAACTCCCAAAGTTGATTTGTCCAGATTATCGGCCTCCTTATTGCAAGGGATCTCCGTATGACCAGGTATCCAGCGTATTTCCACATGCTTGTTGTGTCTCGGCGACGGAAACTTGTCCACTACTGCCTCCGGAGAATTAGATCTCCCTCTTTCGAGCGCCCGGGAGGCCGCTTGGCTGTCCTGAAGAATGTAGATTTTTAAGCTTACACCAACCGCTGTAGCAGCCTCCAAGGCTTTCGTGGCGCCTACAACTTTAGCTTCGAATACTTCTGCTCCGGGAAGTGGACCGGAGCCACTTGCAACTAGCTTGCCTCCTTAGTACACTACATACCCTCAGGCTGATTTTCCGGGAGCCGATAAAGCATCAGAGAAGACACAGGTTATGTTAGCTGGTAGGGAAGCTAACTATCGTTTGATGCTTCCTGATATAACTTCTTTTTCTCGATTACATGGAATCGATACTGGTGTGCCGCAGAGAAAGTATAGCTTTCCAGGACTCCGGCTGTCGGAATTTGGCTCTCGCTCATTTGCAAGCGTGTCATGTACCATTTTGGTTGTCTGAACAAGCGGTTTCTTTGTCCCGATCTAAGACCTAAGCGTCCTATCGTATCTTTCGGGCCCTCAGCCGCTCGAAGGGTTAGAGGGTGCCAGTCATCTATTCTTCGTATTCGTTCTGCATACCCAAAGTTTACTGGAATTTGAATTTGAATTTGAATTTGAAATCTTTAACGTGACAGGACGAATCCAACATCTATTTAGACGTGACACGGGTAGATGGGCCCTACGAGCTCATTGCTACCTACATGACCGGCATTAAAGCCAGAAGCGACAAAAGAAAAATAAAATCACAGCAAATGTCTGAGTTACGGTGCCCTGCACCGTATCCCTATCTTCCAAACACCTCTCCTCTCGAGCCAGAAACTATCTCAGCATGGTCACTCCCACCCTGTCAGTTCTTCGGCAGACTGTAGCATCTGCTTATGGTTAGGAATTGGAAAAACTTCTGCCATCCCTTCTCCCCTATCATTTCCCTGACCCCAGGTGGAGTCATTTTCTCACAGCTTCTCCAACGTTGCAGAGCAGGTCGGCACTCTGAAAAATGCCAGGGCCTTTTCTCTCGGCCACAAATGCACATCAGATCTTCATGTTCGGGGTTGAAACGCCGGTGGTAGTCGGCGTAGTCCCCGTGGCCTGTTCTTGCCGCAATAAGACGGTGATACGCCCATCGAGGCAGAGCCAGTTCCGGCGGTCGCTTGCAGCGCATGTAGAGGTCGAGATCTTTGTATCGTTTAGGCCGATACTTCTGCCACCACTCTTCCACAAGCTTTTGGCTCCGCATTTTCACTAGTCTCCCTAGAGCCGCAAAGGTCAGAATTTGCTCGTCTCCGTTGGGCGAAGCTGAGGTTAGTGATTGGTCATTGAGATCTCCCAGGGCTGATTTGGCCAGCTTATCGGCTTCTTCGTTGCCTTGGATCCCCACATGACCAGGTATCCAGTGTATTTCTACACGCCTATTATGTCTCAGCGATGAGAACTTGTCCACCACTGTCTGCGAGGAATTGGATCTTCCTTGTTCGAGCGCTCTGACGGCCGCTTGATTGTCCAGAAGAATGCTGACCGGAAAGCCTTCTCCCACCGCTAGTGCAGCCTCCAAGGCTTTCATAGCGCCAACAACTTCTGCGTCGAATACCTCTGCTCCGGGAAGCGGACCCGAGCCACTTCCAGCTAGTTTGCCTCCTTGGTATACCACATAACCCCAAGCTGATTGCCCGGGACCCGACGAGGATCCATCAGAGAAGGCACAGACTGCGTTGGCTGGAAGGGAAGTTAACCATCGTTTGATGCTTCCTGATCTAGCTTCTTTTTCCCGACTGCCTGGTGTCGATGCCGGGAGACCATGGGGAAAGTAGAGCTTTCCAGGGCCTTCCGCTGTCGGAACTTGACGCACGCTTATTTGTAGGCGTGTCATGTACCTTTCTGGCTGTCTGAACAAGCGATCTCGTTGTCCCGATCTAAGACCTAGGCGTTTTATAGTATCTTTCGGGTCCTCCGCCGCCCGAAGGGCTAGAGGGTGCCAGGCATCCATTCTTCGCATTCGAGCTGCAGACCGCAACATCTTTTGTTGGAGAATTATTGATGCCGGGGGAATTCCCGCTTCACGATGAAGAGCGCTATTGGGAGTGGTACGCCACGCTGGGAGTGCTACTCGTATAGCTTTCGTGATAGTTTTGTCCAGCAGAGATGTGTGCCACCCTACTCCAGTGCCGACTTCTTTATCTCGGATGGTGGTTATTCGAGAAAGACCCGGCCACCACGCTTCTGCCCCATAGAGAGCTGTGTTCAGAACGCATGCCTGTACCGCACGAATTAGAGGTCCGGGTGCTGCCCCGCGCTGAACTCCGTTTATATGTCGTAAAAAGTGGACTAGACGATTAGCTTTTCCAGTCCATTCCTGTACATGCTGCTTGAAGTTCAGCTGAGTGTCAAGCCAGACTCCTAACCACCGGATATGAGGCGACGGTTCGATCCGGCGATCTTTCACCAAGATGGAGAGGTTGGCTGTGTTGATTTTCTTCCTAGGACCTCCTCCGGTCACTAGAAGTTCCGACTTTGCCGGGTCAAATTCGATCCTGTGTTCTCTGGCGAGAAGGACGAGGCTGTCGAGGTCTTCTTGGACTGCTGCGATAGCTTCGGCCGCGGTGCTTCCAACTCTAATGATGGCTAGATCATCAGCATAGCCAAACCTGCTCGTTAGTCCATGGTCCTTAAAAAGCACAGCGATATAGAGCATGAAAAGAAGTGGTGACAGTGGCGAGCCCTGAGGTACTCCACATTCCAGCATCTTCTCGTCTGTGGTTCCACCACGGTATTTCACCTGGACTTTTCGTTGGCAGAGAAAGGTCTGAATGAACCGGCACAGAGATAGTGGCCAGCCTTGTTCTCGAAGGCGTTGGAGTAGTCGGTTGTGAAGGACTGCATCAAACGCACCTTGGATGTCTAGTGTGACCATAGCCGCACATTTTCCGCTTCTCATGGCCGCCTCAGCATCATGGATTACACAGGATGCAAGGTCGACCGCAGATCGTCCTGGTACTGAGCCGAATAATTGCGGATGAACAACTTGGTGACTTATCGTCAGCCATGCCATTCTCTTGCCAACTAGACGCTCAAGTCAAAGTTTACTGGAAGATCTTTCCTAGTTAAATTTATCTTGTGACTCTCCAAAACCATCTCAGTACCTGCCGAAGGTATTCTCAATTCAAAATCTATACTCACAATCAAAGATACAAGTGAACATCTATCTCGCCTCAACTATCGCATGTTGTGAAGGCACGGTCCAAGTAACGGGCTTATATTCATCTTTACTGAGGACAAGGGAACCAGCAAATTGACCTGCGACGAATCGCCACCTGCGAAATACGTATTTTGCTGGCTCATCAACTAGATCGTTCGATAAAGGCCGAGGCATCAGTACCTTAATCTTGAGCTCTTAGACCCGTATTCAGCCTCCGCGGTTCGGGATACGGTAGCGACGAGGCAAGGCCTAAGGCGTGGAAATTCTACAAAGTTTTTAAATTGCGATAGCAACAGAAAGATAAAGGAAAGCTAAGATAGCGAAAGAAAGAAAATAAAATCTGAAGAGGCCTCGGTAGGCGACTGGACGGAGTATCAAATGAAGAAAACAACCCGATAATGGGATGAAGAGATTTTGAGATGAAACTTAACATGAACTTAACGGAGAAGATAGATAGGAGAGTGGGAGAATGCCAAGGGCTCGGGTACGTGGTAGCTGAGGCTGAGGATGGAGTTGCGCTGCCCTGCGGCGAGTCAGAGTTGGGTTCTCATGCTGTGGGAATTGACATGTTCGATACAGGGGTGAAGTCTGAGTTGGTCCAGTCGTTGAGTGGGACGAGGTAGATGTACTCATATGGTAGTTACCTTGATCCATCCCGGCCCCACTAGTGTTCAAGCCCCCATAGGAATGCATATAACAACAATTGCCTAGCTTTTTAGTAAAATTATACACATACATACATACCCAAAGCGGTTTCGTTGTTCAGGTAAGAAGCGAAGATGTAGGATTCAAATTTGATTCGTACCGAATCAAAGTCCACGGAGTCGCTAGTGCAAAATGCCAGTGTAGATATGTATCAAAAAGCGCCAAACATACAATCCTGGTGTGTCCCAGTTTTTAAAGGGAAGAGGAAAAGCATTACAGCTATCAATTAAGAGGTTCTTTGAGGCTATGATTTGCAGCCCAAGAGATATAGGAAAGCTTACAAAGCTTTTTCTAAATAAAAGTCAGTCTGAACATTATTAATTTGCAGAGGACGTTTAAGTAGCTTTGTATGTAAGAATGCATCGGTTAGGAAAGGTATTGGACTTGTCTCACACTGAGAAAACAATGTTAGTGCGCTTCCTGAAGGAAACCCTGGGGATCCGTAGATACAAGACAAACTGGACTGCGGGGGTTTGAAGGGACTAATTTGATCCCTTCTAGATATCACAGCTGTAGATGCCTATATGGATCAGTGGAGTACCTGAGCGGTTTAAGTTTAGTCAAAGAAAAAGTGAACGGCAACTCAATAGAGTTGTCAACTCCAGATGCGGGTGGTCGGAAATTATGGATGCGATGCAGGGTATTGTAGCCCAGAGCTTCATTGCATGCCTGTTTTATTTTGTTTCTTTTGGCTTTGTGCCGGTATTGTAGATAGCAATGGACTTTTAGCACTCATCTTCCTGTGCCACTTCAAAAATGAATGTTGAGCCGGTCCTTTAACCGTTGAGATATTAAATCAACCCCCATCTAGTTAAATTTCGCCTGGTCTGCTAAAAACTAACGTGCTCATGCTTTGAAAGGTTGGTCCTGTCGTCCAATCGATTTGCGGGGCAGCCACTGAGATGGTACACAAGACTCAGGGCCAATAGGTTTATCTGCATGATGTGACTTGCAAAGCGTGGGAAATATTAGGTACCATGTCAATTCTGATGCGCCGTTGTAATGGTTTGAGATATCCAGCAGTCTGATACCCTTATCTAAAAACTACCATCGTTGAATGTCGGTACCTCGACTTCAACCAATTGGTGTTGAGCAGAATGCTTCTGCAATTAAGTAGCTGATAAATTTTTAATTTTTAGCCTTGTTAGCTAAGAAGGAAACTGAAGGCAAGAAAAGTATGAAAATAGAATGCGACTATGTATGATTGTAGAGTCTCACAGTAAGCTCGCTTAGTATTAGGGACGTAAAAATCTGAGAGATAACGATAAAGATCGGGTTGTTAGCAGTTGTACATATATGTATGTGCATGACCTTGACTAGACGAACAGGGCTGTATATCACAATGCGCATTTACGTTGTATGAGCCTGCTTTACCACCACGTGGCAGTCTGGGTATTGAAGATTAGACATAGACATGAAATATTTGGGTTACTTTTCCTCTAGTTTGTAATCTCTATGGTATTTATTCTGATACGAAGTCTGATATTTATAATTATAATTCATGCTTGTCAACAAACCCTTATACCATATCAAAACGCTAACGTCTGTAGAAATTTTCCGCCCCGCATCATCTTGCCGAATCCCATAGACCCAGTTGCAAGAATGGAACTCTGGGTCGCTGGGCTAAACGCATGGGGGCAACTCGACTCGTGGGAACAGCTAGATAACAGCAGCCCACCAACGTCGCCTGCTGAAAAGAATACGAAAGATATACACACGTTTCAAAAATGCCTTGAGGATGAGTACATCAAGGTGCTCTGGATCGGGGAATCTGTCACTCTACGTAAGTCCTGCATCTCATGAAGAGCCCACCGCAGTCAGCAAGAAGTGGAATAAACTTCTGCAATAGTATGTAGATTTGTGTGTAAATAACCAGATGATAGTTGATACGTCCCATGGAATTATGACGGCGGGTTTTCTTGATGTCATTGCTCGCCTGATTATACAGCATCCTCAGTTATATCATTCAGTAGCTATTGCCGGAAACGACAAAATGGCAGGCGCGTATCGTCCTTTCACGATAGCCGGTTGCATCACTAAGTAACTCAAACAGTAATCGAAGAAGAAATATTATGGCTCTTTGATTCGCCTCCACAGTACGAACATGAGGGGCGCAGAGCTCCTAAAATACGCGAAAATGTCTCAGCCGTGGTAGCAAACCAAACATCATTCTCAGCTCTATGCAATACTGGCGAATTATGGACTTGGGGCGATGAGAGATTTCCTCATTGTCTCGGGCGCAACGTGAATGATAAAAGGTACCACTGCAGTAAAATCTTTCCGATTCGCCATATGATACCTAACCTAGCACATAGTCCAGCTAGAATACCTGCAAAGCCTGAATATTTTAACCAGCTTCCCACAGGGCCCATCAAGAAGGTCTCATCAGGAGGTTACGTAACTGGAGCATTAACTGTGGGTCATGACTTATATGTCTGGGGGATTCACCCAGTTCTCGATCTAAGGGGTGATCCATCACCGGTTGACTTGGATGGGGCTGATTTCGAAGATTTTGCGATAGGAAATGATCATGTTCTTGCCTTAACAACTGATGGAAAACTGTTTGTGGTAGGCCTTGGGAGTAATGGTCAACTTGGTAGAAAGGTAGATCGGCTCGATGATTGGAATGAAGTTTGTCTCACGCTAGGTGAAGGTCAGCGAATTACCGAGGTACATGCTGGTTATAAATCTTCATTCATAATAGTGGAATAAGCAAAGTTTATATCTTCACATAATTTTCCACTGCACCAAATTGGTCTAATATACACAATTGTGGGCTTTTAAAGCTATGCTGTGACGAATCTTATTGCACTATAGACATTACAGATTTGTTAAATAGTCCTCAATTTCTTGCGGACTGAGCTTTCGAAATCTTGGTCCTCGAGCTCCGTCGACCCCCTCGATACCCAATAAATGATGAGCTGGTGGTCCGATAATTCCTGTTTCTTATTAGCTCTCCATAGATAAGATCATTCTAGACACATACCAATCTCAACAGTTTCTCCGTTCATCTCACCCTCAATGGTTTCTTTCAGCGTCAGCAGGGCAATGTGTACTGCATCTTCTAGTTCTAAGCCTTCCGTGTATCTCTTCTCCAAAAATGTTTTAGCCGAGGTCGCACTTTTACCAATAGCTGTCGCTTTCCACGGGAAATAACTTCCACTTGGATCCACCTGATACAACATTGGATTGCCCTTGACGTCGCCACCAGTTTTGTTGCTGGATTCTTCCTGACCTGATTTTCCATCCGAGTTTTCAGCTTGATTAACTTCGGGCTCAGTACCCTCATCCCACCCTGCAACTAATAAGCTGACACCGTAAGGCCTGACTCCACCCGACTGAGTTGCTTCTTGCATGACCCTAGCTACATCTTGAACCAAGATCTTAGTAGGTGGATACTCGTTATAAATTCTCTTGTAGCCTGTGTGCGAGACCTTCCTTGCCTTTTCCACGAGTACCCTGTAATCCGGACCCATCCCGGAATATATCATGCCAATATCTGGAGTGATAAGACTAACTTTCGATAGAGAAGGGGCGTCTATTAAAGGTGATGAAGATTTCTTTTCTGTGGCTAGGACGACTCCATTTGTAGCTAACTTGAAATCAGATAGCTGTTACAAGGAATATCAGCGCGCAAATTTCATCACCTTTAATACCAAGAGCAGTGACACCCTGGTTGACAGCGTTGAGAGCATATTCTAAGAAGATATCAATGATTTGAAGCTTTGTAATTGGATATCTCTTTTCGAAAGAAGAAACTAGTTCAACAAAGGATTGTGGCTAACCTATCTGAATTAGCTTCCCGCTATTCTAAAGGTTAGTAAATGTGTAAAAGATATATTGTAGGATAGCTTGAATCAGCGATAGAAGTCTGAAACATACCTAGGGGAGAAAGTTGTTAAGGAGAATGAATATCTATCTGCCATTTTGAGCAAAATTTGTATCCTTAGAGAATCCTTCAATGGAGATGAAAATATCCTAATCGGTAAGTCACAATTGTGATGGTATTTACAAATTTGGAACTGGAATACCCAGCTGGCAAGCTTGCGCTAAAGCATGAAGGCTACAGCCGTGCCGTTACTATATGGTGACTACAGAGACCATATGTGCAGAAGCCCAAAGTATAAACAACTATCAAATATTCTCATGCTTGCAAACAATCAACAGGACATCAACACTCTTTTCATATTTATTCTTCGCGCACAACTCTATAAGAGCTCTAACATTCCAGCCTGCCATCCGGAGATTAGTTTATGCCTTGCAGCATCATCTCTGTTACGCAGGCTCAAGAGAAGCGTAAATTATTCAGGGCAACAAGTTTTCAAATGTCAACCCTAAGCCTGAGATTAACAAGAAATATCGAATATGTCCAACAAAGAGACAAATTATCAGAATACACAGAATGATAATGATGATCAGACGCATAAACCGGTAAATAGCTCTGATCCTAGCACTACAGGAAAGTCTGAGTATTATCCTAAGACCTGTAGGATATGCCTCGAAGAAGTGCACCCATCTTACAACATTCCGGATGGGGCTATTAGCGGGCTGCTTCACCCGAAACCAGAACCGCAATGGATATCTGAAGACCCAAAATCTGGCCGTTTAATTAGGCCTTGCCGTTGTAGGGGAACCCAGAAGTACGTTCATGAGGGCTGTCTACAACTCTGGAGACTTTCCAATACAATGCAAGCTCACAAACAAAACTTTTGGGAGTGTCCAACCTGCAAATTTAGGTACCGCTTAGAGAGGATGGCATGGAGCCGTATGATAACTAGTCCATTAACTCGGATCGGAATCACAATCTCAATAGTGATCATTGCAGTTTTCCTACTCGGATTTATCGCTGATCCTATCATTAATTTGTACTTGAATCCAATCAGTACTATAGCGACTGTATCAACTAAAGAAGCCCCTGCGAGGAATATGAAGGACAATAATTTTTCTTGGTCTACACACTTCCTCAAAGGATTTGCGTCCATAGGTATATTTGGAATTTTAAAGAGCATGCTAGCTATGTCGTCTTGGCAATTACTTTTTCGAGGATTCGGAGTGCGGACTAGCCGGAGGAGGAATCACGCAGCTCAAGACCAATTAGGTGATATCCCTTGGGTAATGGTATTCATCGGTGCTTGCGCGTTTCTTATGGTAAGTGCATCTATATTTACAAGTGAACGAAACTAACTTAGATAGGCAGTATGGAGTGTTGTCCAAGCATGGACTGATTCACTAATGAAAAAAGTTGGTGAACGTGTAGCTGATGTTCAAGGGGTTGATGAAGCTGATCCCCACATGCCTCAGAGGCCAGAGTCTAAATAGCACATGTCTAAAAAGATAAAACATTATCATGACTCACTTTTTACATCTCATCAGCGCTTGTAACGAATAAACCGAAAGCATTTTGAGATGCACTTTATACCCTTTCATCTTTTGGTCTCATTCTGCACACTCTTAAGTTGCCACGAATCCAATTCCTCTATGGCGTGTCAACTAGTCTGTGTGCATAAATTTATAACTCCACTGGAGCCGAGAAACAGACGTTTTGTCCCGTTTCAATCATGGTGGCCGTGAGTTGTCAAGATCTATATCGTGCCTAAGTCAAGCTTTCTATCGTGAGATAGTCTGCTTTTGAGCTTCGGCGCAAGACAGCTTAAGGTACAGAAAAAGATATAATGATACATACAGTTGGCTATTGTGTCACTTTTCCTGCTGGAAATTATGAGTGACGTAGACGTGAAAGCACTGATCGTCTTAAGTTCGAGAAAATTTACTCATGGGAGTGCTCATTTCTGGTGAAACATCCAAATATGCTGTATATACACACAAATTCACTAATGAAGAACTTCAACGTGAGATTATATCAGTTAACGCTCTAGGAGTCGATGGAGAATCCGAGAGAGTAGGTTTAGTCCCAATCAAGCGGAATTTCATAAATACTGCATAATTAAAGACGTAGCGGATATGACTTGACGGAGGGCAAGACTGAACATCGGTAGGCGATGTCCTCTACGAACCTGGCAGAGAAATATTCTCCCAGAGCCAAGTCCATTTAAATTTCACGATAACGAACAAGTTGGCTCACGAGGCAATGATTCAAACTACTCCACCACGTCAAATTTTCACTCCCAACGAGTCCGAATTCTACCTAAGCCTCATTAAGTCTACAGGTACGACCTAGTACATCCTCATTTCAATGATCACACCTCTCGTCGACTTTCTCTGTCCTCAGCTGGTCGCCAGATACACGCCCACGCCGATATTTATACCCGACGGAGGAATCAAAGCATGGCGTTCAAATCTGGCAGACAGTTCTTTGGGATGTACGTGAAAGGATTCAGGACAAGATGATGTAGAGGATGAATCATTTTCGACGAGCGTGAAATTTCGAAATTTGGGAGCGAGTTTCCACAAACCGAGCTTTGTGCGTGCCAAGTCTTTGGTTGCGAGAGTGCAGGCGACACTACAAACACCGCCATGGCTGGATGGTACGGTGGTATATCGTCTTGTTCGGTCTGCCAAGTAGGGTCTGGATAGCTTTGACACATATCCCACTTGAGAAAGTAGATTGCTGGTTCAGATCCGGCAAAACACATCCACATTTCTCGCGGCGCTGGCATGCATGGATGACGAAGGTATACTTGGATAACCAAAGGTTTTGAAACTTCCCTTTGGTGGGTACTTACGGAGGAGGGTCGACTGTTTGTGTAAGCAAACATACCTCATAGTGGTATTTGCAAATGAAATACAGAGTATGAGTGTCTCTAACTTCAAAGGAGTCATCTAACACGTACACACAGCACATATCATGTGCCATAACTAGTTAGCTGAATACTCAATAAATAATTTAAACAACATCCAGATCACCTGTAGAGGCAAGGTCATCAGGCTTTCTATATAAATACTTTGACGACCTATGCTAAATTAGGCGTTGCTTCTCTTTTAAATTTTCATTAGCTAAGTCTAATCAATGGAGATGTTGGCGGAAGAAGCGTAAATCATTTCGAATCAACAGTTAAATAGATTGTCCACGACATCAAGCTAGGTCGTGTTATCATGAAATGACGCCGATTTTATAGTTTAAAAGCTTTTCCCTCACAAATTGTGGCCATCCGTCCTCATAGCCTTGTATACAGGAACCGAATAATACAGAAAAAAATGATTTATGTATCATCTTAACCATAACTACAGACTACTATATATGTCTGATTTATGACACCAGATTTAATCAGAGAATATAATGCCAGGATTATGAGTCACAATAGCTAAGGGGCTCCCGTTGTTGATGAGCTCACGGCAATCCCGGCACGCAAGAAACTACATGGAGTTGGGCTAAGCTAATATAGCATCATATCTCAATATTTGTCCAGCATTTGACCACAATCTCCAATCTAAGCGCACATATAATGGCTGTTTTTCTCATGAAAATATTTTATTGAATCTCCACCCGCGACATTTATCATCTAATTGGCTTATATCCCTATCTCTCTACCACTCCACTAGAGTTCTCCACCGAGTATGGCTCCTGTCCCTCCTCCTTTCCACAAACTCAACGCGCCAAGACGTCCAAACGGCTCTCTATGTACTATAGAAATACTAGTACAACCACTAATAGGTAGCGAATCCGATCTATGACATCAGTCATCAAAGCTCATCCCAACTATCCATTAGCTCCATGGCTATAATTATGACTAATTTCACCTGGACAAACCAACAGTTTTTAATAAGTACTTCAAGAAGAATATCTCATAATCTGAATGCCAATCAACCTGCTAGGATTAATCGCAGATATATACCTTTCGCAAGCTGTTGAAGTGAATGCAGTAGGACTATAGAAATAGATCGCAGATATATTACTGCTAAAATCCACCCAGCCCCGAGCCACTACAGGCTCGACGCCGGGGGATGGCAGGGATACCTGTGACTCGGAGGTGATGAACGGAAGCCTAGGTGATCTGGCATGGAAGTAGGGATAGGAATCGAGGCTCGGGCGCGTGGTGGCCGAGGCGGAACGATGGAAGGGAGATTGTCAAAGTTTTTCTTTTGTAATGCAGGATTTTGCGTGGAAGTTTTCTTTTGTTTTGTTTTCAACTCTGGGCTGCTGTACTCGTCATGCTTCAACACATAGATGCGTTTCGGCATAGTTCCGGTCATTGAGGTGGGATGAGGCACTTGTACTTTACGGTAGTTAACCTGATCCGGCCCGACCCCACTCGTGCTCAAGCTCCAGTAGGAGTGCGACGGTAGTTACTTCACCTAGCACGTTAATGAACAAACAAACAATTTTTTGAAATTCGAATTTTCGAATCTTCACCCTTTCCTCATCTCCATCCCTCTCGCGCTCATCGCATTCCTTCAGTAAATTATCATCGAGTCACTGGCATTTTCACCATGCCACCTGTTCGAAAACAGCGTCCCAACGCCAAGTTGGACAACACTAGAGTCCACCCGAGGGCTCTCGAGCAAGTACCTGACCTTGCCCAATCTCCGAAATGCGCGGAGATGAGCAAGGTCTCAACTAAAGGGAAGGAAAAAGCCCTCCCTGCCGTCACTGAGCCCGATACTGACGTGATCGGGTCAGTTGAAATTGTTGAGGAATTTCCCCAACCACCCTCCGTCCCTCACGGGACTGGAGAATCGTCGAAATCTCCTCCGACAGCGTCAAAACCGTCGGAAAACGCTGCAGTCAAAGCAGCGCCAAAATCAACGTCGCAGCCAAAAGCTGCCACAAAAGCAGAGTGTCCCCTAGAGCTTCGACCAATTGTCGAGGCCGAACAACGACGCGCCGCCGAAACAGCGGCAAATCTGGCCCTCTGTTCCGCCGCCATCTCTGGCGTCGAAGCCACCCTCCTCCCTTTGACCAACGGGTCAAATAGACAATTCGTAGACTCGATGAGAGTCTACTTAAGCGCCGCCATTGCGCAATACATGGCCACGGGCCCGGCCATCACGCCACCCGTCCTCCCTCCTCGCCCTGCGAACCCGACCCCAAGGGCTCCAGAAGCCAGGAGTAATACAACTCCCGCCGTCCCAGTGCTGCCTGTAAAAAGCACCTGGGCCACGGTGGCCAAAAATGGACTGCGACAAAATGCAGCTCCTATAGCAAAGGCTGTGCCGCGACCTGCGGCGAGAGCCCGAAAGAAAGAAGCTCCCAAGGCGAAAGTCGATAAGCGACTGTTCCTTCGCCTGGAAAAGGAGCACCCATGGCGGAATCTTTCAAACAACATTGTGAAAAGTAAGGTAGCGGATACGCTTAATCTCTCTTACAATGATATAACCTCGATTCATCGAGTAAAGACTGGCTTTGCTATTATAGCAAAGAACGAAAAAATACGACAAGAGATCCTAGATGTCTCTCCGAAGCTGGCAAGTGAAAACGCCAAACTCGAAGCATCTTCGGATCTTGTCGCCTTACAGATACCGAACGTAACTGTAAGTATAGTTTCACAGTACGGCCCCGTAGCGGCCGATGCTGCAAGTATCACCGCTGAGATCTTCCTTACGACCAGCGCGTATCCAATCCAGGTCCGACCTCACGGGACATGTCGGCCTGGATCGCCTTATCGAAACTGGCATGCCCTTTTTCACCGGGACGAAGCCCCTCGTGCGGGCTTCCGCCTTTTCGACGATTCGGGTATGGCAACCATTCACAAGCCTCGTCGATCAATTGAACAGTGCAAACGCTGTTTGGGCTTCCACGCCACTCGTGGTTGCTCCCGCGCTCCAGCTTGCTGGAACTGCGGATCAAATATGCACTCCGAAACAGAGTGCAAGGCCCTCACACGCTGTCGCAACTGTGGGGGACCTCACCGATCGGATTCTCGGGCCTGCCAAGTCAGACCAAAAAAATCCGGACCGGTGACAAAAGAGCAGCTCGCGCGGATCCGCCAGATCCAGCAAGGGGAGTTCGCGAAAGTAGCTCGATTTAGGGCTGCAGCCAAAAGGGCCGAAGAGGCAACGATGGCCTCAACGAAGGATGTCTCGATGGCCGAGGGATCGGGTTTCGGAATCCTGGAATTCGAAGAAGAAGTTTGAGGGTACAGCAACCCTCGGTGAAGTCTACAAAAAGCTTCAATATATATAGCAGGATACCAGCTGAATTCAGGGTATCTGCGAACTAGTCTTTCGCTCTCAGCGGAGATAAGAATAAGTCATCTGGAAGATGTGGCAGGAAAGGGAACGGGCGAGAAGCGCGGGATCTTGACCAAACAGTATTTCCAAATTTGATTTTAGTTTTTGATTTATGTTTTTGATTTTAGTTTTGCTGTTAACTTCTACAATTTCAGTAGGAGTTCATGCGGTTGGAATGAGTTGGGCCTGTA